AACAATGCTGTTAATGTGTTGGGAACACGATAAGTCTTTCGACACTACAACTCCCAGATCCTTAAAATTCGTCACTTGCTCAATAATGTGTAGGCCATTGATGCTGTAGTTGGTTTTAGCGGGCGTATTCTTTCTGGAGATCCGCATGGCTTTACATTTTGTATTGTTCAATTCCATTTGATTATCGGTGGTCCAGGTTATTAGGTTGTCGAGATCATGCTGAAGAAGGTGAGTTGAGTCAGATTGTACGAGAGGTAGGTAGAGTTTGGAGTCATCTGCGAATAATGCGAGTTTCGACTTTTGGATGTATGATTGGATATCGTTGCAATACACCAGAAAGAGTAACGGTCCAAGTATGGAGCCTTGTGGTACACCGGATGTAACGGGAAGCCACTCAGAATAAACACCATATAGAACAACTCTTTGACGCCTATCAGACAGGTAACTGTGAAACCTGGAGAGAAGAGATCCATGAATTCCGAAGTCACTGAGCTTGCGTAACAGAAGGTGGTGAGGAACTTTGTCGAAGGCTTTTGAAAGATCGAGATATATCGCATCAACTTGTTTACCGCTTGCCACAGAATCCAGGATGCAGTGATACACTTCAAGTAGTTGTGCGGTCGTACAGTTTCGGAGTTTCCCCTCATTAAACCATGCTGAAGATCGTAAATTCGTGGCTCGAGATGATGATAACAATGATTATAAACACAACGTTCCAGTACATTAGATAATGTACACAACAATGAGATGGGCCGGTCATTCATTGCCAGCGTTGGGTCTTCTCGTTTGAAAGCAGGTGTGATGTTTGCCTCTTTCCATTTGCAAGGGACCTCTCCTAGAGCCAAGGACATATTGAATAATTCACAAAGTGAAGGTCCAATTACGTAAGCAAGTTCTACTTGACAGTCTATTTGGGATGTTGTCAGCGGGGCCGTATGCCTTTCGTGGATATCTAAGTTTCGAAGAACACTAATGACTTCAGCCTCGGTGAGTTGGATATCAGAAAGTTCATGGGTTGATGACGTTAATGGCGATGAAGATGTAGCGAATACGTCCGAGTCTTTAGGACTGATATATAAGTATAGCTCAGTGATGACCAGCCATCGTTGGTGACCGACGCCCGCGCTCATTGATGAACTTTTTCGTTTCCCCGGGTGTAAATAGCCGGGTGGCTATTCGGGACGGGATTTCGTTTCCCCAGGTGTAAATAGCCGGGGGGGGGATTAGTACCCTCGCACGGCGCTTCGCGCCGCCGGCTCGGGGATAATCGCGAACTTTCGTGAACAGTCGGTCGTGGTCGGAACTAGTGCCCATGCTTCTTCATGGCGAATATATAACGCGGCCGGCCGCCATGTTTTCTAACATTGGTTATTTGACATTAAACACAGTAAAAAGGGACAAAAAATAGAACTTTTATGAATATTTAGAACATTTAGAATGTCTCAACGACAAGGTAAAGGAACTATTCATTTATAGATAGTAATTTGCCATTATTTTAACATTAGTTGTGTTATATTAACGTTTAACTATTGCATTTAGTTTAAATCGAATTCGAATGAATATCGTATGTGAACTTGTCGAATATAATTTGATTAACTGGAGCAGAATTTACACTGCATTTCTTCGAAATCAAATGACTACATTTCTTTGAAAAGTTTGTTAAAATGTTGTGAATTAATTGAGTACTAAAAAGACTTCGGAAAATCGAGTTTTATATTGATAATGACACGTGGTTTGCAAGATGAAAATTTCGCTTTCATCATGTATGTATACAGTATAACAGTATATCGAATGCATATCCAAGATGGCGGAATGGACGCTGCTTTTGATCAAAACAAGTCTATTTTTTTAGAATAGCAAGCAAGATAAGGAATAATTGTAAAGGAAGTTTCGCTGCTTTTGATCAAAATAAGTCTATTTATGCAGAAAACCAAGCAAAATACGGAATAATTGTAAAGGAAGTTTATATATAATTTTAAATGTTCTTTCAAATAAGGCAAACTTAGTTTATATTGCCATATCCTTTTAAATGGTTAACAGGTGCAGACAGTATGTTTGATTAACCCATCAAATAGCAGCACTCTTCCCTTGACAAGTAAATTGGACAGTCTGTAGCTCCTTCTAGCCAGACTGGAAAATTGGGCGGTTTTCGACGAGATCTCGGGGGCGCAAAAGCTGTTGAATCCAAGGGCAGGGGCGCAAAACCTGTCCCAGGGGCGGACTCAGGGGGACCAGGGGCGCAAAAATGTACCCATTGATACCTTTAAAATATATTTTCCATGTTCTTGACTAAGAGAAGTCGGTGCGGCTGCTGCTTTCTTGAAGGGGCTTATTAAAACATCCAACAAACTTCACGTAATGTTTGAACGTGGCTGTGGTCATACAGAATACAAAGGTTTGGCTGCATCGCTAAATTTGAAGGCTTTATACACTGTAACATTCGCCACAACACATTTTTTTAGCTGGTCCTACGAGCAATGGGACAAAATCTGCCGTAGTTATAAAGCCTTAGTTGAAGCCTTTAGGAGATACAGATATTTCACAGCACACTCCCTATCAGGGCTTTTCAGTGACTGATGCCAGGAAAATGAGGACGATGAGGAAGAAGAAAATAAATACCAGGTAAGCACCATATTAACGTTGATGGCCAATTAACGGCTGGTGTTACGAAGCCTGTTTAGCATAAACAGCGGTTAGGCCAAGACTAAAAATAAAACTTATATACATCTTGCGAACGAGTGAACTTTAATACAATGAATAAATATGTCGTTGGAAACTAAATCCTTCTCTTTAATTTCATTTCATTTAAAACTAGTTAGTTAAGTTGTTCAATGAATCAGTGGCGTAGCCGAGGGAGGGCGACCGCCCCCCCCCCCCAATCGCATTTTTTTCCCTGAAAAAGGCTAAATCCGTAGAGAAATTGGGGGTGGGGCTACACGTTACATCCCCGAAGCTGAAACTGATTAAGTACGTCTCGACTGAGGAAAACGACGATATACTGGAGAAACTTGATTTGTAAAATCTCGTTAAAGCAGTTGTAGATATGCCATATGGTTCCAAGAAGAATAGATTTAGTTTAGATTAACATTTATGCATTATCATAGCATGAATATTCTTCTCAGACTTATTCTGTATCGTATGAAAGAGCAACGCAATTTTGAGAATGCTGAAATTCTGTCTCATAGAACTTAAAATGATTTAAATGCAACATTTCTGATCACAATCACATTGGGATTTTCTTCCCCCAGCGTCACAGAGGGAAAATAAGGTGACGCTGACCGGCTCCTCCTGTTTTTCAAGGTGACTTTTCCAATTTATTTAATTCCGAGTAGAAAATTAGAAATGTCTGGGAAAATTTATGTCTTCGATGTACTTTATAATCTTCGGAATTCTGCAAGATTTCACCCCCAAAATGCTTGAAATCGCATTTCAGGGACTCTAGATTTCAAAATTTTCCCGGGAGTGCATACCCCCGGATCCCCCTAGATGGTCTCGCGCCATTGGCGTTAGCTTCGCCCCCCCCCCCCTCCACCAAAAAAAATGAAGGTCTGGCTACGCCACTGCAATGAATCTATAGACCCTTTGCACCGTGACATCACAGGGCCGGTGACGATGCATCTGGAGGACAAATTAGCAATCTATGCATAATATAGCTTTGAAACAAAGCACATTTTGTAAGACTTTATAATAATTTTGTATTAAAATGGTTAATTTTTGCGCTGTATGTGGTTGTTGTACCCGAACAGATATTATTAGGGAGCATCTCCAGGACACTCTAAGGATTTGTGACGTCAGTGCAATGGGTCTATAGACATGTTCTCTATTTTGACCGTACAACATATTCACCATTTAATAAAGCGTTAATTTACACTGGACCCAATTACCCTAACATGTGCCACACGGTAAAATAACAAAATTGTATCTCATTTCACTTTTCTGTGATTTAGATTCATGGACAGGACTACGCTATTGATCTTTGTGGAACATTGGACGTTCTAGAGCCTGTCATATCATTGATGCTAAGAGCACAAGCTGTAAAATTTCCACCTTGGAGGATTGCTACGTGGTTTTCGAGAATGATCAAGATCCTGAAGGTGTGGAAACAAACCTTAAAGCGGTGTTGGAAACAAACCCTGAAGATGGAAACAAACCCTGAAGAGAAGTTGCCGAAGCTCTCTAAGCACTGGGAAGAATCGACTCCACCCACGAGACAAATGCAGTGTTGGGTTTTTTCATGTATATAATGTATCATGCCTACTTTAGAATTGCATTCTTGATTATTTGTTTTGGGGTATCCCAATTTTTGAGCTGACTGGTTAGTCGTTAGCCAGACCACTGAGATGACAGACGGCAAGAAGCAGACCACTTATATCTGGGATGCTCTTTCTCCACAAGATTGTGTTAAAGATCTCGTCATACTTTGAAAAAATCTTTGGGTTGGGCTTCCAGCTCGGTTCACAAACATTGTAGTGATTGCACTGACTTCAGTCAAGAGCTGTGCAATCGCCGCGGGCGCAAAAAAATCGGGAATCTTTCTTAGAAGACATCCAGGGGCGCAAAAATTTGTCCCCGAAAAAAAATCGCGGGCGGCATTGCCCGATTTTCCAGTCTGGAAAATGGGTGGACGCTAAACAAGTAATTTTTTTTATGTGGCCTTATCTGAAACAAAATGTTCTGCCTTCCCACCCCGAATGGCAGAAATTTCCTCCTTGGGGGGAGGGGGGAAACCCAATCAGTAATTGGCCGATTATTTCTGCACATATTAAAATCGATCATTTGCAGATTATTGACCAATTTCTAACAATCCCAAGAAGCGTTGTCATACTCCAACCCCCAGGCCATTTCATTAAACCTGTTACACTTTTATTAAAGTGGCACTAATATCATAATTTGTACTGTAAAAAATATAATATCGTAAACTTCTATTTTAGATAACTACTTCCTATTTTAATATTAAACTTTCTGACACTATTTTATATATTTATTCAGTGTTTGTTTACCTGTGAGGGTGTATGTTTGTTTGTTCAATATCGTGGCATGATGATTCAAAATGACATCATTCGAAGATATATTAAATCACTGGATTATCTGGATATAACAGGCATATAAAAAACTATATACCGGCGACTTTATTATAATATATGTATGTTTCGTATTTGGAATATAGCGCTTGATTTATGGTTAAATCATTCCAACTCACAATATAAATTTTTTAAACACAAAATTCGACATTTTCCCAATTTTCCTTCCTTGTCATCTAGTCTCTACTTCATGTAAGTTTAATTTACTTAATGGTCAGCTACTTTTGTTGCCTTCACAGTTCACACGTGGCCACCAATTTACAGTATAAGCTTATTCTATGGTATAAGTGGTGCGGTCAGATTCGAGTCCCGAAATTGATTACACTAATTATAGGCAATGGTTATGATTAAGATATTTTCTTTGGGCTAGTACTTACAATCATTATATCTATATTATAAACACCTCAAAAATGTTTTTGTTGCTCCGAAAAGTGGTCCGGTTGAAACCGGACCGGTGGCTACGGCCCTGTTTGGAGACTATTTTGCGCATCTCGGCATCTGCATTTTAACTCTGGGTCTTTTAGCTAAAGTTGACGATCTTATAGAATCATGCATATTAAAATGTGATTTATACCTATATTATACGGTAGGTTAATTGAAATGTTGCCACTTTATCAATTTGCACCTAAGCTAAGAACCCTCAAGAGGTCAAGAAGTCTGGCTTGGAAAAGGCAGAACTTTTGCGAAATTGCGGGCAATATAAGTTGCATATACATTTTCACACATTTTGCGCGAGGGTAAGAAGACAGCGTCCTTTTGATTGTCCAGCTTCACGAACTCATCGTTCAGTATTTTAAAAAACTGTTTTATACTCTCAACGTTTTATATATAGCTATTACTATGTGTGTATATGGGTCTATATGTATGTATGTGTGACATATCATTTGTAAATTTTACGCGATGTAAAATTCTATTAAACTATCTATTCATATCGCCATGTAACACCCACTTAATAATCATCAGAATTGGATACAACTGCATTGAAAAGTTTCTCGCAAAGTTTCTGTCGCCTGTCCTTGAAAGTCCTAACATTGTGTAATTTAAGATTGTCCATTGTCTGTATAGGGTAGATAGAGCGAAGATGTAGCGCGCTATTGAATGCGCTCGAGAATATACTCTGAAGACTGAACCGAATTGCAGTAAAAATTGAATTGCGTACCTTTAGCTTTCATGGGTACATGGGACTGGAACACTGATATGGGCGAGGGGTGTAGAATTATAGATAATCATGTGATATATTTAATAGAAAAAACATGGTACTCAGGTCTCAGGAGCGAGCTGGTCATAGGATTTGAGAACCCCTGTCCCTTCCCAAATCATTCGATATTACTGTAAATTCTTTCAGTCCCTAAATGGCAAATTGGCAATTAAAACCAATAATAAATCATACAAATGAAAGAGGCTTTACGTAAAAATGTCCTTACTTTGCAAAAACATGTTTAGGCACGCAGGAATCCAATGATCTTCTGGGCATGTTCAGACATCTTGCCCAACCTGGCCTAAACTTGCCCGAAAGTGTTCTGCGATCTGATTGGGCGCAGGTGAAATGTACATATTTTCATCTCGCTTCTGATTGGCTACTTCAAACCGGAAAAGCATTCAATGTAAACAATATAAACGCGACAAAAGAGCGAAACAGTCAAAACACTGCAAGACAACGCAATTCTAACGAATTTCTTTGTGAATTTGAGACGATTTTTACACGATGTCTAGCTCAAACGATACTACAGTACATCTCCGTGTTTCTGTCGAGGCTAGCCAAGGCTCTAGAAAATCGATGGAGGATTATACATCAGTTACAATCGAACCGCGCCAGGACAGGGAATGCTTCTTCGCAGTTTTTGACGGCCATGGTGGTCACCAGGCAGCCTTTTTTGCGAGGCAAAATCTCTGGAAAACCATTCAGAAACAAAAGGATTTCTATTCCAGCGATCCTGACGAAGTTGGCAAAGCCATCAAACGGGCGTTTGTCGAAATACATACAGCCATGTGGAAGGAGAGAGGTAAACTTCTGAAAATTTATGAAAAGCAGAATTTGAAAATTATGTATATTGTGCCAGATGCTGCATTATTTTTATATTCATGAGTTTCATTGAAGGATCTATTACATGTAAACTGCACGAAAAATGTCAAGATGTAAGGCTTTCGCTATTAACGTCGACAGTTTATAATTATTACTGTAAAATCCTTCAACCGGCTCGTGGACTCGAAGTCTCGAACATATTTAGATAAATTTTGTATGTATATAGATACCAATATTTGAGGAATAGTCTAAAATAGATTTAGCACACGTTCTATGCAGTTACTAGAAGAAATATAATCGTGGTTTTATAGTATAAATATAGTACATAGTACTTTCGATTTGTGATATTTCATGATCAGATATTCCTCGTGGTATTCCACAAATTTACATTACCAAATCTTGTCAATTCGCAACATACATCTGGCTAAAAATACGAGAAATATAATGGTAAAATCGATCATAGTTTTGTATTGTTAAAGTAGAGTATATACGTATATAGTAATTTCGATTTTGAAGGAAATATCATTGTATAGTGTTCTACAATTTTACAGTATATATTGTAGATTTTACAGTACATTGTAGATACAAAATATCTTGGTAAATAGGACATTTACTATTGAAGGCATGGCATTGAAATAAGAGTCTAAACTATTGTATAGCTCTATGAATTTAAAAAGAGTATGTTTATAATTTTTGACAAGTAGATTTCCGTAGGAACAAATGCTCAGACATTCGGTAACACAAGTCGAGCGCAAAATTGAGATATAGTAAATAAACTATAAACTACAAAGCTTTTTGAAACCATTCGAACCAGTTTTCTTCAGTTATAAACCTACTGGCGTCTGTGAAGATCAAAGAGGGTGCTTTTAGCTGTACGTATGAAATTTTACATAAATAGAAATATCCGGTATAATACGAGGAAAATGTCATCAGCATTGAAATGCAATGCAAATTTCAATCAACACCGAAATATTAAATTTATACGAATGAAACTTAACACTTTTGAAATTTGACTTATCTTTTTCTCTGCTGTAGGGATTTCAGAATTCTCTTTTATTAATTTATCTGTTTTGTTGCTATCCAAAGCGTGCATTGAATTGCCGCTATATAAGTATTTACAATTTTACTGTAAAATATAAATATTGATAAGTTGGTAATTTGTTTTTATTGCATGACAGTTCGAATATAGCTTGGCAGGATGCCATAAATTTACATAACACCTTGTCTGTCATGCATTAAATATTTTTGCCCGCCAAAATTTGTAACACACAGATTAATTAAACCCATTGAGCACAAGCGCTCTCCCCCCTTGACGAGTAAAATAAATTTTAAAAATGATAGCCCAAAAGAATAACAATGCGATGATCCTTATGTTTTGTCGTAAGTGACTGACTAGGGTAGGACTTGAACTGACAGTATATAAAACAGTATTTGCATACAGTACAACAAAAATAGTAAATAAGGGCACTTTCCATTAACACAGCCAGATCGGTCAAATTGTTGAATGGAACAGAAAACTAGGGGTGCACAGGATATAGTATCCGGATAGTGACAAAATCGTACTATCCAGCCGGATATTTACTGTTAACCGGCTGGATACCGGATATTTTTTTTCATGAAGTGTACTAAATTTCTGTTAATTGAAACATAAAAAATACTAAAAAAATAGAAACCCAAAAAAGGACATGTGAATGTCTAGCCATTGATATAATTGAATGAATTAACTATTTGCAGCTTTTGGCGCTAAAAACCGTACTAAATCCAATCGCACAAAAACTTCGGAAGCTTTCGACAACATTGTGAATGGTGGAAAAAGTTAAAAACAGATTTTTAGTTAACCATAATTGATTATTTACTCAAAAATTCAAAAAAATAGTGTCACCTTATGCACTATAATACATGGACGAGAAAAATCCTTATATGTATTATATGTCAAGTATTCAAATTGATAAAATATCCGGCCGGACTTTTTTAAATATCTGGCAAATCTGGTATCCGGCCGGATAGTAAAAATCACTATCCGGTGCACCCCTACAGAAAACGTTTGGGTTTTGGACCTATCTGACCGGAAAATTTAGATAAGATTAGAATGAGGACAATTTTCGTTAGATATTTGAGAAACAAAGACCAGACCTTTCCATTGATACAGATACAAAAATTCGTCAAATTCGGGTCTGACCGGTCAGGCCATTAAATGGAAAGTACCCCATATACATATATAAAAAATATATAAAAAAATCATTTCACACTATAATAGTAGACCTAAATAATAGCGATGGGCGATACCACCAGTATCGGTTTCGATACGATACCGATTACTTTTTGGTTAAAGTATCGAGGTATCGATTACCCAAACGATTACTTCCTCCAATTTTCAAAAAGTTACATATTTTTAACAGTAACGATTTGATCCGCCATTTCAATCCATAAAAAAATCAAAAATTACTTTATTTCCCGCCTTTTTTATAATTTATTCTGTCAGTGAGAATAGAATGTCAAATAAAGTATAAAGGAAGTTTGATTAAATTGATAAATGCAGCAAAATACCAAAAAGTACATAAATTTTATTAGAAATAACCATGAAAACGATGACACAACTACAGGATTATAATGAATGTCTGATTTTAAAAGTAATCGAAACACTTTTTCGATACCGTGCAGTATCGACTACTTCCTGTTTGGGCCTGGTATCGGGTGGTATCGATAGCAAGTAATCGGTAATCGCCCATCACTACTAAATAAAATCCACTTTAGTCTATGGAAATCCAAGACGACCTTCATTGTGGTTCAATGCATTTTTTTAACTGAGCCAGACATGTTGACTGACATGTAGTACATCCAAAATATTTCTCCCATTAAATTGGCCCAAAACATTACTGTAATGTTTCTCTTGTTCACATTTGCTTGATTAATTAACAAAGTTTTGCAAATTTTTGCTGACATCAGTAATAAACAGACATCCTACTGAATGACAATTGTATGTTCCCATGTGACCATAATTCTCCAATCAGAAAGCTTTGTTTGTGGGCGAATGAAGTCTCCCAAAATTTGAAGCCATGCCGCCAGGCAATTATTACCTGAATAAATGCCTGTCCGCAGGCTAATTGATTATTTAATTTGTGCTCATACTAGGCACGTTCGCTGAATCTGCAGATTCCAAATTAGTTTGAATCATATTTATGCTGATAGTACAGTGTTTTTATGTTATGCTTAATGAAGATCTGGTATATCAACAAGTATAATTTGTATTCCTTTTAACAGATTCTTGGCCCAAGACAAAGTATGGTACCCCAAGTACAGCAGGAACGACAGCGTCGGTGGTGATCATGCGGGGTCACCATATGTTTGTCGCCAACGTGGGGGACTCTAGGGTGGTCCTTGCACAAGATGCAGGAGAGGGGTTGAAGGCGGTGCCCTTGACAGGTGACCACAAACCAGAGGACCCCCTTGAGGCACAAAGAATCAAGTCACTTGGGGGTCAAATAGGAAGGAGCAACGGCGTCTTTCGTGTTGCGTGGAACAGAGTCAGCCAAATTGGCAGACATCGAGGGCCGGTTCTGCGCAGCACAAAGATGGAAAGTGTCCCGTTCTTGGCCATTGCACGCTCGCTTGGTAAGCAAGTTTACATATTAATGACCGATGTTTTTTAAAGGTTAATGTTTAATTTAAATGTGTATTATTGCAAACTAAACTTGCATAGCAATTTTAAGAATGCCTTTTAGAACACATGCAAAAATGTTGTAATAACGGCTTATTGACCAAGCGTGAGGTCTGTACTGTGAAATATCAGACCGAGGTTTTTTAGTATGGACCGAGCGACGAAGGAGCGAGGTCCATGCAAAAATCAGAGGTCTGATATTTCACAGTACAGACCAAACAAGCGAGGTCAATAATCGGTTTGTTATATGGCTGAACAGAGTCAGTGAGCATATGCTTTTCACTGGGTAACAATATACGGTAGGCATGCATGCTCAATCAAAAACAATTTGGTTGTTTGAAATTTCTAACTGTAAATTTTAATGACACACAATTGGAAAATTAAAAAGCAAAAATTTGTTCTGTTTACAAAGCAAAAATTTTCCACCAGATAAACGACATCCAGGACACTGGTCCAGATACGGAAAAAAGCCATATGAAAAGCCATATAATAAAACGTTATTTAAACTTTTATTTTATACTATTTTATTTTTAATGCTTACTCCTAAAAATATTTTTAATATCAAACTCACCCTACATTAGGAAGAGTTACATAAATTATGTGTTTAATATGCATATTTACATCAATGAGTTTAATGCATATTTATTATTTTATTTCCTAATTAGTAGCGCGAGGCGGTTTCCACAGAAACCCGAAAACCGACCGGAAAAAAACGAGTGAACCGGGTTTTTTAAAAAATACGTTCGAAAATCAAATTTCAAACAAACTCTCTTCAGTTTTTCGTGTGTAAATGCCAAAACGTGATTGAATTGCATCAAACTCGTATAAGTATGGTTCGATTTCAGTAAAATACCGATTTTTCATAGTTTCCCCCCGTTTTATTCGGTTTTTCTCGAAAAGTAACATCGAGTATTTCAGAGTATCTTTTTTTCCAGTTTACAGAAAAACCGCCTCACCCTACTAATTAGTACCATACTTTAATTTAAGTATGTAGTATTTAAAATTTTTTTATTAATTAAATAAAAATATTATTTTTAAGGAAAAAATTATTTTCTTATCACTTCTTTTCAAAGAAGAAAATAGTGTTTGTAAACTTTGGCTATTTTTAGTGATTGACCAATAATTAGTGTTAGCATCGGGCCAATTTTTGCCTTATCTATATTTCCGATTGTCTAAATAAAAAAGTGGTACGGGTACCAATTTTATCTGTGCCGTACCAAAAATTGAGCGTAGTGTAAACAGGGCTTAAATTAAAACAGATTGTTGAGAAAATATGCACTTTAAAATGATATGCATTACATGTTAATACACGTTGTGTTGTAACGCAAAATGTTAAATTAAGGCATGAAGCATGCCATTTATTAACAGTTTTAACAATCTTTGGTTGCAGTAACATGTTACGTTGGAAATTATCGTTAAAAATTCGACAAGAGCGACATCAGTATCACCTTTACTCAGTCGACTGATATTATGACGTCATTATAAAATTGGTATTGGGTAGATTGTGGGATGAAAAATCGGTAATTGTTGCACTATCGGTCAATCACTAGTTATTTTATTGTGTTAAAATAAACAATATTTTATTGTTTATACATTTTACTATACATTTTATTGTTTTTTAAAAAAAAATTAAATTATGGGTAAATATTTTTTAAAGGTGATCTGTGGAGTTTCAACCCCCTCGTCGGAGACTTCCTCGTGTCTCCTATTCCCGATGTCCACTACAGGCTTATCGATCCTCGGAGAGAAAAGTTTGTGGTGCTGGCATCGGATGGTCTGTGGAATGCAATGAAGAACAAGGAGGTCGTGCATTTCATAGACAACATCGAGAAGAACGTCTTCGACATGGACTGGAAGGACGATGTCACCCACAGGTGGGTGCTACGTATTCATAGCATTGTTAAAGGGTTTGTAAAATTTATAAAAAAGGCAGATGACAAAGAGGAAAAACCGCTGCTAACAAACCAGGTCTCAATCTTTTTAAGTTACCATCAAATCAAGTTACCATGACTTGTCTTTTTAATACCGTCTTGTGATAAAAGACACAGTCTTGCAATAAAAGAAGACACACCCAGATAATTTTTGACTATGGCAAATGCAAAAGTAAAAAGGAAAGTGCCACTCCATAAAAGGCTCTTGCCATTTATCTTTTAGTAACATTTAGTTCACATCCAAAATAATTTTTTTTCTGACAACAATACCGATATTAGAAACTATAAAGGAAAGTTCCACAGGCAGATAAAAAGGGACAGTATGAGACGTCTTTACGTTGCCACATAACCCAAGATTGTGCCCAAGGAAAGATGTATGTTCAAGTAGATGTTAAATCCACTCAACAAAAAGCAATGCGAAGGCATCGCACAGATACATTTCTTTCACTGCAAAAAAACCATGGAGAAAATTTTAACTATGAACACCTTTGGCGATTTTCAAGTGGGATTTGCTATAGGAGGATGCCCATATTGATACGAAAGTTTGAATGTGAATTTTTGATGGCTAACATCATCCTAACCCTAACTCTTGTTCTAAATAATCATGGTGCAAATCTGGGCCGGGGGGGCGGTGAATAGGGGTATACAAATCCTCCCAAATTTGAAGCAAAATCCGCCAATGGTCTTGTCTAAATTTGGATCCGCTTAGCCTGCGAACAGGCTCTCAAGTTGAATTGAGAGCCTGCATCGATGACTAATGAATTTGAATATCTGCGTCTCAAATCGTGACGCGAAATTCTCACTGGTCAGATCAGGGTCAGATGCTATAATTTATACGTTTCCGCTGAGCTCTATATATGTCAACTGCTGAACTATGCATAAAAAACACATTAACTGATCAAATTGGTCTTGGCCATCTTATCACAAAGCACGAAATGTTCTGTTTTGAGAAAACAGTATTTAAAACAT